TTTTAGTAGAGACGGGGTTTCACCATGTTGACCAGGATGGTCTCGATCTCTTGACCTCGTGATCCACCCGCCTCGGCCTCCCAAAGTGCTGGGATTACAGGCTTGAGCCACCGCGCCCGACCCCGAGTGCAAGGTTTTTCTTTGCTTTCTAGTTAAATGTATGTGATTGATTGCTTGATGATGAAATACAATATTGTCTTTTGTACTTTGTCTGATTAATTACATACTAGAAAAGAAAGAAAGCTAAGCTGTTCTTCATGTGTTCAGGCTGACATTAAATTGCATATACTGCCTCCTGTCACTTGGGATAAAAAAAGATTGCATTTACTCTTCAATGCCTCTGACCCTTTTTTCTTTTTTCTTTTTTCTTTTTGGAAACAGAGTCTTGCTCTGTCACCCAGGCTGGAGTGCAGTGGTGCAATCTTGGTTCACGGCAACCTCTGCCTCCCAACTAGGAGGCAATTCTTGTGCCTCGGTCTCCCAAGTAGCTGGGATTACAGGCGCATGCAATCACTCTCAGCTATTTTTTTTTTGTATTTTTAGTAGAGACGGGGCTTCACTGTGTATGCCAGGTCTCGAACTGTTAATCTCAAGTGATCCGCCTACCTTAGCCTCCCAAAGTGCTGATCCTAGCACAGGTGTGAGCCACCGCACTTATCTTCCTCTGACTCTTTTTTATTTTCAAAAAAAACCAGCTAAATCAGGAACTGTGCCCTCTCAAACACATCTCTTTTCTGGCCATTGTCAGTAATTAGAATAATGACTATAGAACCTTCCTTAAAATTATTTTGACTCAGTTCATATGAAAACCTGTAATGTTACGAAGTCTTAGAGATCATCTTAACGTTTTTTTCCCACAGATGAGAGAACAAACTCATGGAAATTCTCATTTTCTTTTTATAAAATAGTACCTCGCAGGTATGTAGAACTTCCTGGTATCTGGTGCTCTAAAACTTTTTTTACTCTGTCTCCTTTTAGTCTTACACTACTTGACCACTGACAGGTGGTCAAGGCAGTTTTATTATTCCTACTTTATAGATAGGGAAACAGTCTCTGGTTAGAGGATTGGGCCCTATCCCAGTTCTTTTGACTTTATTCCAGTGTAGTTTGTCAGTAGCCCAGCTGTTATTCTTTTTTTTTTTTTTTTTTTTTTTTTT